TGCTAGTCCCTCCCCCCCCAACTGAAAATTTATGGTTGTGCCCCCTCAAAGTGAAATTGCTTCCTACGGGCCTGGCTGTTTTGGAGTTACGTTCAGATTTACAATGTGAATCTATATATACTTATAAATTAATAAATTTTGCAAATAAACTCCGAAACGGATGCACCAGAGTTTTTACTTACTCCTTTAAGAATACACTAGATACAATATGATGTCCGTAAACTATATTTAGATTTCACTCGCATTGTAAGTATCGTACATTAAATTAAAAGTCTACTTTTATTTTCTATAAAGAGCCCTGAAATAGCAAAAACGTGAGTATGGTGGCGTTTCCGGTTGGCGGATCTAAGTTTCTGGCAATTTTCAATTAAACTGACAACAAGCAATCGTTTATTTATTTCATAAAACGTCATCACTGAATTATTCAATCAAAACTTGATTTAAAAGAAATAAGTTGTGATAACCGATTAAAAAGGGAAATGTGCAAATTATTTTTGTCATTCACCGATCTTAATATTGACGGAAGCTTCTAGAACATCATATAGCATCGAGCCCGATGTTAAAAAGAAAAACGAGACGAACATAAAAAAAGCTTATGTGTGAATGGTCATTGAAATAATGGTAAATCGTTGATAACACTATAAGTTGTGAATATATTTATATATCGAAAGACTGTTACATATATGTAGTAGGTTTTCCTAATAAATTTATCGGTAAAATGCCTCACCGAGAGCATCGTGGCGACGAACCCGAAGTACAATTTCTACTTCGTAATAAACTTGCTTACATGAAAAGAGAAAATTAATGAATAAGACATTGTTCAAATACAATTAAAGCTGTAAAATTTTGTGCTTTAATCAATACATTTCAGTTTTTTTTTTCTGAATACAGTCTTTTGTATCAAATACTCGGCCTATTCATAGGGCGTTAAAAGCTAATTTTTACACAGGTACTTGCGTCTTGGATTATATATATGTATGTACCTTATTGATATGTAAAAAAAAAAGTAACGTACATTTTTTACATATCAATAAGGTACATACATATACATAAACCAAGACCCAAGTACCTGTGAATCCCCCCCCCCCCCCAAAATCAATTTATCAGTAAAATGTGAATATTCGCTGCTTTTATCCTTGACGGAAATGATATAAGAGCATCTGAAGTACAATATCCATAACATCATGAACATAGTATAACAGGTTTCACAATAAACATCAATTAATGAAATTGCTATTTTTTCAAGTTTTTACGAAAGGGGGGGGGGGGAAGCACATGCGGGATTTTGAACAAAGTATTTCTTCCTGCTACAATATATTTTCTGTCGGTAGTGGTATAAATTCAATTCCACACGCTTGCGCGGGATTTCATCTAGTATTTATAAAAAAAATGTATTTTTTTATTTAAAAAGATAATATCTTAGGGAAACATTATTATTTTGCGACAACTATTATGAATAATTAACAAATAATTATGAAAGGGAATGCACGTCATTTCATGATAGATATTAAAAAATTAACACACAATTTTTCACAGATCTTTGACTCTCTTTGATCTTTTGATACATTTCATCAAGATACTATTTAGTACTATTTAGATTTCTTAGGATTTTTTATTTCCTTCAAAATAGTTGCATGCCATTCACATTATTACAGTTGTGTAACTTCATTACATGAGACAGTCTTGGAGAAAGTACGGGAAAAAGTAACCTTAAATTAATTATGACGTCATAATGGATCTAGCACCAAATTTTTAATTTACTCGGTATGACATCATACGACGTAGGATCTACGTTAATCGTTTCCTCTATGAGTATTGTGACGTCATAGCATTGTTGTTGACGTTACCACCAGGTAACGTTATTTATAACGACGATGGACCCAATTCATTTCTGCAAGACATTTTTTATTCAAATTCTGATATGAGGTAAAGTGACTTAAATTGAGTTAAAATCAATAAAAAAAAAATCATATGGTCATCGATGTGGATTTTTAATGGGGAGCGTTTCAAAAGTTGGCGATGGAAATCGATAATTACTATAGGAAATAATGGAAAATTGCCAGTGTAATGTATAAGAGTGATCATTGAAAAAATTCTGCAATAGAATTTGTATTCGTATTAAAGGACAATGTTAACAAGACAATTTACCAGCAAATTATTCCAAAAAGTAAATGGATCATCGGCTTAGATTTTTCAAGGGGGCTTGTCAAACTCAGGTATAGGGCACATTTTGGGGGAAATTTTCAATGAAAATGTCTTGGCCAATAAATCATTTATTTATAAAATCAACAAATGAATATAATCGAAATATTAACAATATTTTTGAATTGAGAGGAAACGTTTGAATATCTTTAAAAGAATTAAAAATGTTTATTTTTTGTCTTTTGCAATACATAATTAAGTCAATTTGATTCAAGGCATATGCGCGGTTTTCTGCGCAGTGGCGCGAAATTTCGAATTGGGGTCCGTCGTCCTTAAGGAATGACTTTAATAGCTACCCAAGTTATACTGGTATAACCTGGGTTGGGGCAGTTTACGCTTTATAAATCGCGAAGCGTTTTATAAAAAAGCGTAAAACTGTTTCAACCCAGATTATACCAGTATAACTTGGGTCGCTATTAAAGTCATTCCTTATAATTTAATTTTCCATCATTAAGTGTAAAAAATAAAACAATTTCTCCATCAAAAATGCCTTTAAATTGTACGTATTTTAAATGTAACGTCAAACGCATTGATACGTTTTGACGTAAGTCATTGTGACGTAGACAACCCAGGTTATACGCTATATTCTTTTTTTTATCCAATCAAATGACGTTTTACAACCAAAATTAAATTATAACGTTAAAAGTTTAATATTGTTAAAACCGTCTGAAGAAAACAATGAAAGTGCTTACGTTTTAATAAGAAATGTTCTTTTTCTTATATGTGTCACAAATGCTTGGGGACCCCCACCCCCGGGTGTTCCGTACCCCAAGGGTTCTTTGATTTTTTTCAATAAAATATTTTTCTATGACATATTCACAAAGTATCACAACTGAGAAATCCAAAATATATCCTAAAACTAGCCTTTTATAAAAATTCACACTCTCTGATACTAAAAGTCCTCATTTAGTATCAGAGAGTGTGAATATTTATGAAGATCTTTGCCAAAGGATCAATATGACATACCATATTGAATACGGCAAAAAATATTTTATTTTACGTCTCAATTTACCCTAATATGCTACACGTTGGAGATAACGTAGCGTGACGTTTTTACATATAAAGTACGTTGACGTTGGTGACGGAGTTGGGGTTCATTGGACGTAATGTACACGGCACAGGTGCTTTAATATTGGGACCCCCCCCGGTGTCCCGTACCCCAAGGTTTCTTTGACTCTTTTTCAATAAAATATTTTTTCTATGACATATTCACAAAATATTACAACTGAAAATCCAAAATATAACCTAAAACTAGCCTTTTATAAAAATTCACACTCTCTGATACTAAAAGAGAACAAACTTGTTCTCTTTTAATGCCCCCCTCCTCTCTCTTGCTTGCTATGACATAGACACATTCTAATTGATTAGCTTGTAGGAGTTTGACTTCAGTACTGCTCTTGATAAATATTGGTTAATTATTGTAATCGTGTCATCAACCCCCATTTAAAAAATCGTTTCAAGATGTTTTGGGGCATTAGAGAAACCTGTGTCACATTCTAAGTCTCCTGAACGCTCGTCGTTGATCCTTTCGTCTCCTTCTAGCAAAAGAAAAAAATTGACCCAGACTTAGCGGGAGAAACGGAATGAGGGAAGCAGACAGTTACAGGATTTTAGAAAAACTCCCACCAAAGTTAGCCAAACGGCTTATGCCATTTCAGAGAGACGGCATAAAATATGCATTGAAAAAGAATGGAAGGTATGCAACGAAGTGTTATCAATTCTTCGAATTTTTATTTATGCTTGTCAACTTTTTAAAGCACGTACAGTATTGTTAGCAAAGGCACTCCTCAGCTTAATTTGTTAAAAAAATATATCTATAAACATAACCTTCACACATCAACATAAATATATATTAAATAAACAAAAAAATTAATAAAATAAATTTTAAAAAGCATTCTCAATCTCAAGCTGACTATGAAAGAAAAAGCAATCATTTTTTTAATGTCGGACTTAATGATATTTTGTAATAGATTTTTTAAAAGTTTGAAATAAAAGATCAGAAGTTTAGAGAATTTAAGTATAAATTGTTAAGTAAATATTTTCCTCTACTATTTTTTTCCTTTGCCATTTTTAAAAATAATAAATTCAGCTACACATAATTTTTTTGTAATGAACAAATTGAAAGAAGTATAAATTATTGGATTTTATTGATGAGTGTCTATGTCATTGATGTTCACAGTTTTTTGTTGAATTGATTTGAGACAATTGGTATCAAATTGTAAAGGTGCTATATTGTTTCACCTTTTTACAGTTATTTATAGACTTTGTGCCCATGAACATTCTATGTGCTTGAGGACAGTTAAGCCCCCCCCCCCCCCCCCACCACCACCACCACATGCACACACTCAGACCTCTAGGCCTTTTCGATTTATGCATCTGTATAAAGTTATTCATAATAAGAGTTCCAAAAATTATTAAAAATATGCACTTCATCAAAAATATCTTATGATTTACAAATTAAAAATCTGTAGGTAGTCCAAAATATCTTGAGGACTGTTCCAATGTCTAAGAAAAGCAAACTTAAAATGATGATTAAAGTAACAAATTCTATACTGTGTATCTGCATGATAGCAATAAATTCTTTAAGAGAAATTATGATAACTCTCACTTTTGAAATAAATGTTAATGGGGAAGTTTTATGTCTATGAAAATTATAAAAACATCTAGTTGTACATAACTGCTAACCAAAGTAATTTCAACTCTGTCATCTTTCAGAAGCACTCCTTGTAACTATAAGGATAAATATACATTGTATGTATACAGACACTGCAGAGAGTTTAAAATATCAACATTTTCAAAATTTTCTCTTCCAGATGTCTTATTGCTGATGAGGTATGTTAATTGTATTTGAATTGACAGAGTAATTGGATATTACATGTCATCTTGTAAATTCAGTTTTGATTTTTGTCTGCTTAAAAGGGGATTATTTCAGATTAAAAGTTTTTCAACAATGGATCATTTCAGATGGGTCTTGGAAAAACCCTGCAGGCATTATCAGTGGCCTACTTATACAAATCAGAATGGCCTCTGCTTATCATTGTTCCATCCTCCTTGAGATTTTGCTGGGTTGAAGAGATTGAAAAATGGTTCCCAGACACAAGTCCAGAAGACATCTTCATGGTGCAAACTGGGAATGATGCCAGGTAATTTAGAGAAGTCAAAACAATATGAAAGTTATAACCTTTCACAACTTGAAGAATTTTTATGGTGCTACAGTGTATCTCAAAGCTTGCTACACAAGTAGAATACTTCAAGACTAGGGGTGAAACAATACACCTCCTTCACGGTTCGATACGTATTGTATAATTTTGACTCGGTACGGTTATTTTCCATATGATACATTTTGATAGAAGGAAACAAATTCAAAGTTGTTTTATGCTTTACTTTACTAAATCTAGTCACTTAATTTACGAATTTTATTTGCAAATTGACTAGAAGAAATTGATTAGAATGATTTGACTGTCAAAAATTATTTTACAAACTATCAGTCCTCAAAAATTTACGTTTTCTTTACTTACTTATACTGAGTAACGTGTTTTACCTTATGCCAAACCCGACTGAATAACGATCCTGACCGAAAATGAACCGAACTGAAAATTAGAGATTTTGCACCGTGTTTCAAACTGAGAAAAAATACCGTGGTGAATCGATACCGCGGTGAACCGTTTCACTCCTATTCAAGACACACAATTCTTTATGTTGATGAAAAGTTTTCCAGGGTTCTAAATGTAGAATAATCTGTCAAATAGTTAAATCATGACTTCCTTCCAAAATTTTAGTGAGATATGAATAAATGCTACAAGTACAATTATAGAACTTTAAGATACATTACTGTTTTTATCAATTTTTAGTTTTATTGAAGACCCAGTCATGCTCACTAAACATAAAGTTATCTGTCTAATTTTTCAAATTCTTATTCCCTTTATACTTTTTCTTTTTAAGTAATTAGGACAATCAAAATGCATTATATGATGTAATAATTTTTACTCTGCAGTGGGATTCAGAATGCAAAGATAGTCATTGCTACCTATGGCTTGTTGTCAAAGACTTCTAGTAAAGTCGTTCTTCAGGCCCTCACCAATCAGAATTTCCAGGTGGTGATAGTAGACGAGTCGCACTACATACGGAACATTAAGACGGCATCCTGTAAAGCTATCAGTCCACTGATCAGGAACGCCAACAGACGCATCCTTCTGTCAGGGACTCCTTCACTTTCCAAACCAGTAGAGGTAAACTCTGACAGCTTCATAAACAGCCACGGAAACAGGACATATCTATGCACATAAGATTTCTTATGTTAATCAGATTACCATATATTTCAGGAAGTTTTTATAAAAATAGACTGTTACTTTGTTGCAATGCAGTTGTAAAGATCAAGGTTAAATGAAAAGAGACTTTATTTCAGGTTTTATTAAGATAGACTTTTACTTTGTTGCAATGCAGTTTTCAAGATTAAGGTTAAATAAAAGGAGACTTTGTCAGACATTAAAAAAACTTCTTCACTGACAACTTGTAATATTGTGAAATACTTTGAATGGATATGTTTATTTAACAACAATTTGTATATGTGGAGTATATACTTTATTGCAGCTGTTCTCACAGGTTGATGCTATATGCCCTAACAAGTTTGGGAGCTGGTGGACCTATACTGCTCACTTCTGTGATGCCAGGATCCAGCATATAGGGAAAATCCGCAAAAGAAATGTGGAGTAAGAAATTCTAAACTCATTTTGTATTTAATAACATTATTATTTATAGCATATTTTTAGACCTCTTATTGAAATCAATGCCAGTGAAATGAGGCAAAAGACTTTAATATTTATTTTTATTCTATAAGAAATATAATTTTATTAAATAAATTTAATAGCATATGTATTGATACCCTCATAGTTCAACCTGTCTCATAATACAATAATATAGCAAAAGATCTGTAAGACCTTTAGATTCAATTTCTTTTTTATATTCCATTTGAAAAAAGAAGACAATATTCATTTGCACCTGTTCAGTAGGTCAGTTGGTTGGAAGACCAAGTGTTGTCCACTCAGAATCATAATCTTTTAGATTTGGAGTCACAAGGTCAAGGACTAAACTACTCTGTACATAGGAAGATATCTGCTTAATTTCTTGCGAATCATTTGCTTGACAGACCTAAACTTTGTACACTGGTGCCCCTAAGGAATAGATGACCCCTTTGATTGGTTGAGAGTTATACTAATCTGGACATAGGAAGATATTGTCTGCTCAATGTTTTGTTTGAGAACCCTTTATCAAACTTGGTACACTGGTATTCTCTCAGATGTAGATCATTCCTATTGATATTGAGGTCACAAGGTCAAAGGTCAAGGATCAAATTAATTACTCTAGATATAAAATATTGTCTTATAAATATCTTGTAAACCCTTTGTGTGACAGACATCAAAACTTGGAACACATTATACCTCCTAAGGAGAAGTTGACCCTTATTGATATCAAGGTTGCAAGATTGAAGTTCAGGACTCGAATGAGTGATTTTTTTTCGTTGTTTTTTTTTTTATTGTTTTTTTTTTTTTAATTTCTGCCCAGCATCTTGAGATATAACCATAAATTTTCACTAATGAAAAAATTTTTCAGTATCATTACAAACATTCTAAATTTAAAGTTGATCCTTTGCATTTTTATTAATTTTTTTTTCCGTCTTTAGTGGTGCCAGTAATTTGGCAGAGCTTCAGAAGAAACTTAAGGATGTTTTAATGATCCGAAGAATGAAAGATGATGTTTTAACCCAGCTGCCAGCTAAACAACGACAGCAGATATTGTTCCAGCTTAAAGATTCTCAAGTCACCAAGGTAAATATTATACTTGATAATAACTGCTTCTTTTGTAGAAAAAAAAAACAGTTTCCTTAGTTCAATTTACTGACAATTAGCATTTAGCCCTGTAAAAATTTATGGTCTTCATGCTTTATGTTTAATATACACGTATGTGTTATTCAGGTAATAACTCCTTCACTTTTGGTGACAGAATTAAGAAATTTTGTCTTGTCATTCAGAAATAATCATAAAATCTGTCAGAAAGCTCAATGCAAATCAAGCTTGGTCAAATTGTGCAGTAATCTAGCATCACAACTACATGTATGTAATATCAAAGAGAAAGCAAGTTGAAGTTATTGCTGAAGTTCTTGACATTTCTTAGATTTTGTATTAAACTTTATCAATTTTGTGTTTTATTTACTCATATATCATTTAAAAACTGTTCATTTATAAAATCTTAAGATAGCAGTTTAATATGGACATTTCAGGACATTCAAAAGACTTTCCAAGAGCTGAAGTCATCTATGAAGAAAGACAGATGCCAGGTTGAGAATGTTTGTGAAGTGGCTACCAATGATGGCTGCTCAGGCAACACTCTCAGTCTGATACAGAAGTTGTATCAACTCAGTGGTGAAGCCAAGGTACTGTGAGTAGTCCTAATCACCAAGAGTTCTTATGGAAATCAAATACTGTCAAACCTCGTTATCTCAAACTCAATGGGAGAAAAAACTTCGAGATATCCGAGGATTCGAGGTATCTAGGATAAAACACTCAAAGAATAAGGGGATGGGACTTCCAAAGGACTTCGACATATCCATGGTATTCGAGATGTCAGTGTTCGAGATACCGAAGTTCAACTGTATTTCCATGGATTCTATTTACATTTTACATTTAGTTACACTACTTTCTTTTAAAAAATAAAAAGATTTTTCTGACCATGTTTAAAATATGTATTTTTGATATCAATTACAAGATGATACATTTACATAAGTTTAGAATAAGGCAGGGAACAAAATGTGACTAGATACTGTAGATCACTATATTGTTGCGACCCCTTATTTTTTGCGAGATAAATATTTGGTATCTATATCCGAGAAAAAATTTGTGGGAGCTATAGTTTTTATTGTATATAATCCTTAACAATACAAATATACGCAAGATTATATTTTTGCGAGCAAACAGACTTGCGTAATTACACGAAAATAAAGTTCTTGTGAATAAAAAGTGATTTACAGTATAATTTGATTCTTTTTTCTTGTTTTAGATAGGCCCTGCTCGAGATTATGTTGCCATGTTGTGTGACAACAAAAACCTCAAGTTTCTGGTCTTTGCCTACCATCATGCCATGATGAATGGTTTACAGCAGACTTTGATGGAACACGATGTGAAGTTTGTTAGGATTGATGGTGAAACAAAACCTTCTGACAGACAACTGTATGTACAGCAGTTTCAGTCCGACCCAGATACTAGAGTTGCCATTTTGAGCATCCTAGCTGCAGGAGTGGTTAGTATGGAGATTACAATGGGGAGAGGTTGATTAAGTTACCATGTGTGTAGTTTGTCATATTGAGAATCCTAGCTGCAAGAGTAGTTAGTTGAGGATAAGGTCTGGTATTGTTAGTCATGTATACGCAGTATGTATCTCATCTCTCCTGAAGACTTAATTTTATAGTGAATGTTAATCAAGGTTCACAAGTCTTTAAAATCTAAGACTTAGATGGAACAAATTACATTCAAATGGAAATGAGACCGTCATGTGTGTGCTTAATGCTGAATTACTTGTGTTTTTTTTTTTTTTTTAGAAAAATCTTTTTTATCTCTCATGAGCTGAAGGTTTAAGTGAGTTTTTCTTATCATAATTTGTATGCTGTCTGTTCTCATCATTGTCGTAAACGTCTTCTAGTTTCATTTTCTCTAGAATCACTAGGTCAATTTCAACTATACTTGGCACAGAATATCGTTGGGAAATGAGGATTCAAGTTGGGCCAGAGCTTCTTGAAAGGGGAGATTATTTAGAAAGGCAAAAATTTAGTAGGTGTCATCAAAAACCTTCTCAAGAACCACTGGGCCAAAAAAGATGAAACATATCTGAAAGCTTCCTGACAGTAGTTTTTTTTTTTTTCAAATCATGGCCCCTCAGGGTAGGGTTGGGCCACAATGGGGTATCAAAGTTTTACATGGAAATATATAGGAAATTTCTTTAAAAATCTTCTCAAGAACAACAGGACCATGATTAGTGATATCATTATGCAAGCATCCCCTGGTAGTACAGATTCAAGTTTGTTTAAATCATGGCCCCCGGAGATAGGATGAATCAAAGTGTCGAGCAATCTCATTTTGAATTCTTAGGCAATGTATTCTCACATTGTGTCAGACTTGTATTTTTTCCACTGTTGGACCTAAGATTGTCTTACCAATTTATAAATCATAGGAGGAAGTTGTGTATAATCCAAATGTAGGTCATAGTGAATTATAGGGCTTTGCATTTAGAGTTGTGTCTTTCTGAAGTAGACAAAGGATTGTTAAACCGCATTACTTGATGCTTTAAGAATTATCCTACTTAGTTCCTGACTGATATACATGTATCATATGCCATTGCTGTGTGCTTTATTGTATTTGATAAATTACTGTATTTAATTGATGTTACTTTCTGTTTCAAATTTTTAAGGGGTTGACATTTACTAAGGCCACTCTGGTGGTGTTTGCTGAAATGTACTGGACCCCTGGGGTTTTAATCCAGTGTGAGGACAGGGCACACAGAATTGGACAAACTAGATGTGTTTCTGTCCATTACTTGGTGGCAAAAGATACCATGGATGAATGGGTGTGGTCTGCAATATGTAGAAAGGTAAAAAAAATTGTAACATTCATCCAAAGCTAGGAAACTCATTGAAATTAGAAGATACTGGATGAAATATCTTGGCTTACCTTGTGGATTCAATTCTTTATACATGTATAAACTTTGTGACTTGTCAATTTCCATTCCCCTCCCAAAATTTTTTTTTGAAATCTTATTCAGTACATGCCAAACTGAAGTTTAAAAATATACATGTAATATCTATATACATGTATGTATATCTTGTAAAGATTAAGTTTTTGTCTCCTCAAAGGATTGTCATGATTGTTTGATTTTATTTGTAGTTTGATAAGAAGTGGGTAGAATGATATAACTATACCTGCACATACCAATATGAGTCTGAATATATTGTTGATATCCATGTCTGTTACATTTTCTTGTAATTAGAACTCCCCCTACATCTGTAGATGTTACCAATAAAAAAAAATGTGACTAGGTGGAAAGGTTTGGGATTTTTTTTATACCCCTAGAGACATATAACAATGTGGTTTAGATATAAGCTTGGCAAAAGGAACCCCTCCTACATTTATTTTGTAGCTAAGAAATGTTTTAGCATATGATTGAACGTAATCAAAGGTATGTTCCTCTAAGGCTGAAGATCCCTTTAAAAATCTTGTCAATGGAACTCTACATTTTAAGATTTAGTATAATTTTGTTATTAATAATTGTGTTAAGGTTGTAGATGTGCAGTAAGGCTTCATTTCTGCAATGTTCTACATTGAACAAAGCTGCAGATGGGCATTGGTAAAACTCTTAACACAACCAGATGAGAAATATATGATGTATTACCGGGTATTTGTTCTAATTACACCATAGGAGATGCACATCAAACATTAGGAATGGAAAATCATTGAAATCTTTGTACAAAGGATGACATAATTTTCTTACTTGCATTTTAATCTGTTTATGGTAATTGAACAATATTTAATGGGTGTATTGTGCCATGGTGGTGCACTTTATTCATTTATTGCATGTCCACTAGAAAATATTCTACTAACCCATTATTAAAAAAATTCAACTATGTTCAACTTTTTGGAAAACAAAAAAAAAAAACTGTCTCAAGAAAACCTGATCAATAAATTTAAAATGACTGTCTGCTTGTAGACAATTGTGACCACCACAACACTCAATGGTCAGAAGCAGGTGATGAAAGCCGATAAAGGAGACAAATACCAGGTGGACCTGCTGTCTACAGCTGATGTCTATAAAGCACCGTCCACAGAGGAGGCAGCCAACACAGACTTTGCATCCATATTTGCATCTCAACAGGTGAAACGTCTGAAAATTTAAACCCTTACCTTAAAAGCCTTTAAAATTTGTGAAATTTGTAATTTTTTGTAGTGAAGTCCTTTTTTTATTCTTAGAGAGAATATTTTACATATCTGTAGTTTAATTATTTGTTGAGGTCATATCTGTAGGCAGGGGTGCTGAATGAAACTTGCTTGAAATACACTTTAAAATGATTTCACAGTATTTATTTGAATGATAGGTATTGTTTTAAATTTCAGCCAAAAGACCAGCCTTCAATTTTGGATTTTATTAGTAGTGGAAAGAAAAGAAAGAGAGAGGAGGGATCTGTTTTCAGGAAGAAAAGGAAGAATTTCAACAAAACACAAGACTCAGATGATGTCATAGAACTCCTAGACAGTGATGGTGAGAATGAGATGGATGAAATTGATGAAAACAGAATCAGTACGCCAAATGACAAATATAACACAGAATCTCATTCACAGGAAAATTCATCAAAATTAAAAGGAAAAATTAAGAATGTAAACCAGATGTTGTTATTTCCACAAGGACAAAACGATGAAGAGGATGAGTTTGTTTTTGGTAGGACAAAATTGACAAGGAAACCTTTACATATTAAGCAATCAAACTCTTTTTCTGATACTTGGGGGTGTTCAGGATGCACATTTCAAAACCATGCTGACCTCCCCTACTGTGAGATGTGTAACACTCCAAAACACAATAGGTCAGTGAAATCTAGTCAAAATAACGATGAAGGAAGTTTGACTGCTTCTCCAGACCAACTTGTAAAAAACAGGGTTGTAGAGTCTCAAGAAAATAGCAATATTTTGAAGTGTGACATTTATACATGTGATAATGAAAATATATCTCAGTTGTCAGAATCTCATCACTTGTGCTCAAGCTGTGATAATTCTTGTTCTTCATTGAATGAAGATGAATCCTTTCATCATAAGGACAGTGAGGAGGATCGGTCAGCATGTGATCAGTGTGAAAAAGGAAGACAGAGTGATGAGGAGGAGTCATTCTCAACAAAGTCTAAACAGAGACGAAGAACTTTCTTCCTGGAGACTTACTCCCCAACTTTGAAATCAGGAGCTGATCACAGCAGTCAATCATCTGAAAACTCTAGCGACATTGACCAGTGTACAACAAGAAAACAAACTATTTACGGGGATAATGGAAAGGAAAATGTAGAAAATGAGGAAAAGAAAGAAGGCAATGATCAGGAAATGACTAGCAGTCTGGAACTGACCAAGAGTGGACAAAGTACTGTAGAGCTTCAGTCCTCTGAGGATTCATCCCAACCAACACAGAGTGCCTTGAGTGATTCGATGATGGAGGATAATCTTGACATTACTAGAGAAACTGATGATGTAGAAGAAATGTTTGATGAGGATTGGGATCAAGAAATCCTGTCTCAAGGTAGCTTTTCATCCTTAATGTTTTTTTGTGAAAATCAATATATATTAAAACTCATCACATGTTGGCTTTCAGGTGTTTAGATGTAAACCTTAATAATGACAGATGGAAAATAATACCATTTATTTGAGGGCTGATGGATTCTCCTGCACCTGTATGTGATTCTTTCTTGCCACAGGGCACATTTTTCCATACTTTTTCCTCTGAATTTAAAGGGAAGTGTTGAAACCCAGGAAAGTCAGCATCTTTCACTAGATCTGTCTCCAAATCTAACTGATTTCTCCTCATCCTAATCACACATAGATGTAATAAGGGTATGAAAATATGGTTCAATAATTTATTTTTATTAGAATTTCTTGGATTACATTTCTGATTGCAGATGTTGAGACTACAAAGACTGAAGACAACATCATTGTAAAAGATATTTCAGCAGTTCCTGTCTATAAGAGCTTTTGGTACAAATGCAGTGCATATACAAGCAGAATATACCTATACAATGAGGTAAGGCTGGCCCGGTAAGGGTTTGACATAGTTGGCCATGGATGATTGTGCTTTTTTGCAGTTCAACAGCAGACAACCTGTTCTTTGTCACCCAAACAAAACATTGAGGCCACCATTTTAAACTAATGGTTAACTACTACATGTGCTACAGTATATCATTCTATTGACAAATTTGCTTTGGTAGAGTAGTACCATTTTAGCTAGAGCAATTTTTATGTAGTGACAGTCAAACTTGGTTATCCCGAACACGATAGGACTGAGAAAAAAGAGATATCTTAGGGTTTGAGATATTGAGGGTAAAAATCATCAAAGAAAAGTGATTGGGACTTCCAAATGACTTCAGCATATCCATGGTATTCAAGATATCAATGTTCAAGATACCGAAGTTTAACTGTATATTGTATGCAATAATTTTTGTTACACATAATTTTTTTAGGAACTCGCATGTATTGTATGTTCTGTCAACTTCTGTGTGTATTATCTGACATTTCAGTTTAATTTACACTTTAATTTCACATTGTAAAAGAACATAAATTCTAAAATGCTCATGAATGTTGAGCAGGAAAGTATAATCCACTGTTTTGGATTATCTAACTGAGCATTTCCTTTCTCATATTTGATAATAATGAAAAAGTTGTTTTAGGAATATTTAGAAAAAAATATTGCAATATATATCATGTTGGAATAAATATTGCAGTATACCCATAAACAAATGTATTGGCAATATTGCACACTTCTTCCTTTTAAGCATACAGAACAATTTAACAACTCTAAAATTAAATGTTTTAAAACATACAATGTATGCTATAGCTTACATGTGCTTGGCCTAATGATAGGCATATTTTGTACCCTTGGTTGTATTCTTGTTTTATCTGGATATGTTAATAGTCAAAAATTGCTACTTTGGTTTTAGAATGGTGACTCTCTCCAAGCCAACTTTGTGCCACTGGATGTAGAAATGAACAACCAAGGAAATCTTCCAGATATCTTACTACATCCACAGAATTTTAGACTCGTGCAAAAATTTATGAGGGAGTGGAATAGGTAACTGTGAATCCAGTCTTTTAATACATCCCATTTCTAAACTATGTCAAATATACATGTATGTTTCAAGAAGTATGCTCAAAATAAAAAATTGCCGTGGAACTCTCTCCCTTTAGTGTATGAAATTTACAAGATGACTTGTGTGAATTTTGAATGAATCACTATCTTCTCAATATTAAATTTCAGCTTAACTGAAACCAAGCGTCGACTAATAGTGAAGTCATCTACACTCTTTGACAGTCCCCGTGTTGCATATGAGTCACTGAAAAGTGACAGATGTGTCACAGTTATCCGCCATAAAACAAAGGTTTTATCGAGTTTCTTTTTCGCTATGTTCATTCAAGTAACTTTTTTCTGTTTATTGTAGAGTTGTATAATTATAGTTAACTGCTTATCAAGGTTTTAAAAATCATGGAGGCACTTCTGAAAATAACACATATTAATGTGAAATTAAATATGTGAAATGAAGTCTTAGCCTATTGTATCTGTTAGGAGGACATTGCTGCTGAGTCATTAGCAAAAGCAGGTCAGATACAGGGGAACATCAGAGTTGTGAAAAGATCTCACCAATCAGAGACCAGCTTAGTACAGGTAAACCCAAAGATATGTGTACTGGTATATAAGTCTTACCTAAAAAGAACTACAGAATAGGATTGGATGAAAAGAATACAATTTTTGATCTATTTAGCCCACCACTTCTCATAAAAAACTTATTTTTCTTCTATTAAGGCCACCACATCAGAGGGTATTCCGATTTGTTTGAATTGTAGTAAACCTTGTGATAGCAGTCTGCTTTCTAAAGAAACCTTGAAGGACTCAGATTCTGCATGGGCCACAAGGTTTTGTTCCCAGAAATGTATGAACAAATATTGGGTAAGTATTGGGTAAATATGTTGGGAATTGCCTCCATTATACATACTAGATAGAGGTTATTTCTGTATTTTTAGTTCACATTGAAGTCCAGAGCATAAATAAAAAACAACAACTACAGTTTAATTGCCTCAAAGTATGAAGTATTTAGTAGATATGTTAGCAAATATTAAAATATATTTTTCTTTTTTACAAAATCTCTACAGTTTTGTGTGTGTGCATGTCTGTGTGTGTGTGTCTTGGGGGGGGGGGGGGGTGCAGGAGGAGTGTCCAAATAGAATAAGATGCACAATAATTCAAACAGTTACAGTGTAATTGTTACACTTTCACAGGTTATCATTTGATTTTACAGATCCAGACCAATTCCAGTTACTGCAGAGACCAGCTGTATGAGGCAGAACATGGCATTTGTCAGTTATGCAGCTTTGATGCACACTCTTTGTATAAGCAGATTAGGTATGTTGTTTTGCAACTTGAATTAAAACAATTGTATGTATATGTGAGATATATTACTCTTGCATTGTCACCTTATGGACAAGATAATGAGGGAGTAAGTGACCCTATCAGTAAACATAAAGAATTAGTTGAAAGATTTATAATTCCATAAGTATTTATTGGTTTTTAACATACAAACTAATGACTGTTATGTTGTGATGCACCTTTGTATATAAATGCCAGTAATGAAATGCTTTTAAAAGTAAATCATCTCTAGAATGTAATATGTATGATTTACTTGTATTTGTTATTTTTGCAGGGATACAGATGATATGCAGAAAAGAGTAGACATCCTTCATTCCAGTATATTTGACAAGCTAAATCCAAAACAGAAAGAGGCAATTGTAAAAAATCCAGTTGCTGGACAAGTAAGTCTTTATTTATTGGTGATTAGAATTAGAGTCATCGATGAGTAACTGTGGTTTCTTGGGTCCTTGTCAAAAGGTCTGAGCATCAAATATTAAAATCAGGACTCAAGTATTTGGAAAATAATATAAAACTGTGCAATATTTTTTCATTGTCATCATTATTTGTTAAGCATGTTGTACTTTCAGAGATATACCATTATCTCAATTAACTTCATGTAGCTGGGATTTAAGACCCTGTCTTGTTTCAGCTATGATTAAAGTCATGATTGTTAGCATATTGGTCAATGGTGACACATTGTTTTGTTTCTGTAGACAGGGACATGCCAGGATTGGAATTCAATGAAATTTAGCATGTTCTTTATTAGTAGCAAAAATGATTCCATCTTTTTGTAACTGGAAATATTTAAATGATCTAACCAGCAATTCCAATTCTGTACAAAATCAACTCTGTGTAGCTGAATTTACTTACATGAGAGGGACAACTAATATGTTAAATCACTTACGTATCAAGCACAGTGACATTAAATTAACACCAGAGAAACAATAATTTTCAACTTTCTAAATTCTCTGCAGAGCAAAAATTTGTCAGGTGAACAATCTGTTGATATAACACGAGCCATTTAATTGACACAATAGTTGTGGATGTATGGTTGAAACTTGAACATTGAAAATCATGAATGCATTTGATCAATCAAAATTGAATGTTTATTATACCCCCGCTCTGAAGGAGGTATACTGTTATACCCTTGTGTGTCTAGCTGTCTTGTTTGTCCGTCCGTCTAGCTGTCTGTGTGTCTGTCTGTAACAATGTTTTTAACAGTTTTCTCAGCAACTACTCATCGCAGATGCTTGAAATTTTAGCACACTCTTTGTTTGGGCATGCCATATGGTGGGAATTATTTTTATACAAATCTGATGTCAACTTCCTGTTTATTCGTATGTCTGTCCATACCATACATAACAAATTTGGGTGGCAGTTTTCTCAGCAACTACTCATCGCAGATGCTTGAAATTTTAACGCAGTCTTTGTTTAGTCATGCCATATGTTGGAATTCATTTTTGTACAAATCTGATGTCAATTTCCTGATTTTTACTGTGTCTGTCCATAACTGAACATGTGTACTCACATCAGAGCGGGGGTATTATTATAGAGCATTGGATCACAGACTTCTTGTTATAATTATGTGTTTTTATTAGCTCACCTGAGCTGAAAGCTCAAGTGAGCTTTTCTGATCACCCGTTGTCCGTCGTCCGTCTGTCCGTCCGTCTGTAAACTTTTCACATTTTCGACTTCTTCTCAAGAACCACTGGGCCAATTTTAACCAAACTTGGTACAAAGCAACCTTGGGTGAAGGGGAGTTTAAATTGTAAAAATGAAGGGCCAAGTCCCCTTCAAAGGCGAGATAATCAAGAAAATACAAAAATTGGGTGGGGGCATTAAAAAATCTTCTTCTCAAGAACCACTGGGCCAGAAAAGCTGAAACTTATCTGGAAGCATCATAAGGTAGTGTAGATTCTAAACTGGGGGCAGGGCGGGGCCACAATAGGGAATCCAAGTTTTACATTGAAATATGTAGTAAAAATCTTTTAAAATCTTCTTCTCAAGAACCACTGGGCCAGAAAAGCTGAAACTTACTTGCAAGCATGCTGGGGAAGTGTAGATTCTAAATTGTTCAAATCATGACCCCCGGGGGTAGGGCGGGGCCACAATAGGGAATCCAAGTTTTACATTGAAATATATAGGAAAAATCTTTAAAAATCTTCTTCTCAAGAACCACTGGGCCTGAAAAGCTGAAACTTATGTGGAAGCATGCTTGGGTAGTGTAGATTCTAAATTGTTCAAATCATGACCCCCGGGGGTAGGGCGGGGCCACAATAGGGAATCCAAGTTTTACATTGAAATATATAGGAAAAATCTTTGAAAATCTTCTTCTCAAGAACCACTGGGCCTGAAAAGCTGAAACTTATGTGGAAGCATGCTGGGGTAGTGTAGATTCTAAATTGTTCAAATCATGACCCCCCGGTGTAGGGCGGGGCCACAATAGGGAATCCAAGTTTTACATTGAAATATATAGGAAAAATCTTTAAAAATCTTCTTCTCAAGAACCACTGGGCCTGAAAAGCTGAAACTTATCTGGAAGCATGCTGGGGTAGTGTAGATTCTAAATTATTCAAATCATGACCCCCGGGGGTAGGGCGGGGCCACAATAGGGAATCCAAGTTTTACATTGAAATATATAGGAAAAATCTTTAAAAATCTTCTTCTCAAGAACCACTGGGCCAGAAAAGATGAGACTTAAGTAGAAGCATGCTGGGGTAGTGTAGATTCTAAATTGTTCAAATTATGACCCCGGGTGTAGGGCAGGGCCACAATAGGGAATCCAAGTTTTACATTGAAATATATAGGAAAAATCTTTAAAAATCTTCTTCTCGGGAACCACTGGGCCAGAAAAGATGAGACTTATGTGGAAGCATGCTGGGGTAGTGTAGATTCTAAATTGTTCAAATCATGACCCCCGGGTGTAGGGCAGGGCCACAATAGGGAATCCAAGTTTTACATTGAAATATATAGGAAAAATCTTTAAAAATCTTCTTCTCAAGAACCACTGGGCCAGAAAAGATGAGACTTATGTGGAAGCATGCTGGGGTAGTGTAGATTCTAAATTGTTCAAATCATGACCCCCGGGTGTAGGGCGGGGCCACAATAGGGAATCCAAGTTTTACATTGAAATATATAGGAAAAATCTTTAAAAATCTTCTTCTCAAGAACCACTGGGCCAGAAAAGATGAGACTTATGTGGAAGCATGCTGGGGTAGTGTAGATTCTAAATTGTTCAAATCATGACCCCCGGGGGTAGGGCGGGGCCACAATAGGGAATCCAAGTTTTACATTGAAATATATAGGAGAAATCTTTAAAAATCTTCTCCTCAAGAACCACTGGGCCTGAAAAGCTGAAACTTATCTGGAAGCATGCTGGGGTAGTGTAGATTCTAAATTGTTCAAATCATGACCCCCGGGGGTAGGGCGGGGCCACAATAGGGAATCCAAGTTTTACATTGAAATATATAGGAAAAATCTTTAAAAATCTTCTTCTCAAGAACCACTGGGCCTGAAAAGCTGAAACTTATCTGGAAGCATCCTGGGGTAGTGTAGATTCTAAATTATTCAAATCATGACCCCCGGGAGTAGGGCGGGGCCACAATAGGGAATCCAAGTTTTACATTGAAATATATAGGAAAAATCTTTAAAAATCTTCTTCTCAAGAACCACTGGGCCAGATAAGCTGAAACTTACTTGGAAGCATCCTGGAGAAGTGTAGATTCCAATTGTTCAAATCATTACCCCTGGGGATAGGGCGGGGCCACAATAAGTACTACCGGGGGGGGGGGGAGAAATCAGGTGAAAAACAGCAAGGCCAAAGTTACTCAGGTGAGCGCTGTGGCCCAAGGGCCTCTTGTATTTATTAAAAATTTTCGAATTTATCTTCTTCCCTTACTCTATAATGTACTGAACGTCAGCATTTAGATTTCGAAATTAAGTAAAACAAAGAACACTATGTAATTGTGAAGATAGATTAGTTGAAAAACTTTGAAATTTGAATTTTTTCTTGAATAATGAACAAGTACTCGATCGCAAAGGCAGGCAAGTAACCAGATACTAAAATTGAATTGATTTGACAACCAAAATTAGAAATAGAACCAGTTAATGATTGGCAAAATAGCAAACTTTATTTAACTGTAACAACATAGTGCTACTATTTGTTATGACATGAAGCAATTACTCATTTGTGAAATTTTATTCAAGTTGCAAAGAGAGTGCTAGTCATTTAGTCATTTCTTTTTGTTAATTTTATGACTATTTGAAGACACATTCTTCTTGTTAAAAATGGACAACAAAATGTAACTGTTATTGATTTCTTTGTTCATTTGGGTACCGGTAGTTTAATATTTTAATTCTAAAAAGCTGAACATGTACTGAAATATTGAGAATTAATGTAAATTAAGTTGTATTGAAATTTTTATTTCAATATACAGTCCTAATTGATGTAAATATGATGTTACAGTTCTGGCATGTGGACCATATTCGTGCAGTGTGGGAGGGAGGGGGACAGTGTGATATTGACAATTTTCGGACTCTATGTGTTCTTTGCCACCAGAAAGTTACTGCACAACAGGCTAGGAAAAGAGCAACCATCAGGAAACTTGGGGCAGCCACTGGTATGGCAGACATTTCGGCTTTTTTCCAGCCAGCATAGAATTAGTGATAAGACACTGTTAACTGGTCAACTTTATGCTTCCTCTGTATTTCTTATACTGCATGTTGTTGACAATTTTATTTGATTTCAATTTTTTTTCCCTTGATTTTATATTTGAATAAACTAAATATTCAGTTGTTTGAGTTATAGTTCTTTATTATGTATGCTTAGATTTTCATTAATTTAGTTATTGCTGCAAATGTCCAAAGTTTTGCATGCAACAAAAGTCAATCAGGTGACCTATTGCCATCTGTTTCATTTTTGCATTGTGCATTGTTTATTGGTTGTAAACTTTTGAACATTTTCAGCAATATTTTTTTCTGATATACAGTAGACTATAACAAACAAGCTGCTTTATGCTTGTGTCTCCCCAATACATGTAATAATAATGTCTGATAACCTTTCTTTTTTGTTTGATAGTACCCCCACGTACTGAAAATGTTTGGATCCCCCCCCCCCCCCCCCCCCAAACTGAAATTGCTTCCTACAGGCCTGCGATAGACTTGTAATTAAAATAATAGATAAATAAAAATGAGAAAAAATACCTCATCTTTGTATCTATGTAATAATATTTTTACAAGGATAGATAAACAATCTGATATTCTGACTTACTAAAAAATCACATTATCATGTTTTCTGATATGAATTTAATATGTATGATATTAAAAATATTTTTATATATTACTTGATATTTTAAATTTATGTTGTGATTAAAAAAAAAATAATAGTGTTCTTTCTATTTACTGTGTCAAATCTTGTTCATAACATGGTTATACATAAAATTAATTTGGGAAAAAGAAAGCCCCTCAAACCCTTTTCCATTTGATCTAATGCTTTTGTTGATGATAAAAATCAATGTTGGGAATTTTTTAATTTTTTTTATTTATGTATTTTTTGTGTCAAATTTATAGCAGAGGGATATTTAAGCTTTAAGGCCCTTTGGCTTTTTGTTAGGTCACCTGAGTTTACTCAGGTGACCTATTGCTATCTGTTTTCGTGTGTCGTTAACATTTAAACATTTTCAGCTTCTTCTCTGAAACCACTGAACCAATTTCAACCAAATTTGACATATAGCATCTATGGGTGAAGGGGAGTAAAAATTGTGAAATTCATGGCCTCTGTCCCCCTGGAACCTGAGGGGTGGGGCTAAAACCATCAAAATGAATGCAATGTTTAAAAATATTCTTCTTTACTCCTGGGCATCAAGCAGCCAAACTGTTGGTATGATCATAATAACCATTGAGCCCTCTACCAAAATTGTGAAATTCATGGCCCCAAGGTCAGGGGTTCTGGTGCTAGGGTGGGGCTCTGTTGAATATATAGTGAAAATGCATTATTTCTTAAAAAATCTTCTCTACTTCTGGGTATTAAGCAAACAAACTAAATGCATAGTTATGATGAGCAAAACTGCCTCTTCCAAAATTGTGAATTTCATGGCCCCTGGGTCAGGGGTTCTGTTAAAGCGGGGCTGTATTGATTATATAATGAGAATGCATGAATTCTTTGAAAATCTTCTCCTCTGCTCCTGGGTATTAAGCAGACAAACCATGTACATAGTTATGTTGAGCAAGTGTGTTTCTTCCAAAATTTTGAATTTTATGGACCCTGGGTCAGGGGCTCTGCTGTTAGGGTGGGGCTCTAATGATTATATAGTGAAAATGCATATTAATTCTTTGAATTCGTGTCCTGCGTTAACCACTTTCCCATTTCAAAGTCTCGGAAAACTGCGAAAAACTAGGCAAATTTCTTGAAATTTTCCAAATGACGACATACCGGTAATAGATAAGTAATTGAAAATAATTTAATTTTTATCCCAACCATACCTATGTATTGGTTTAATTTCAAAATAATAATCGAATATTCCCTGATGAAACCCTGATTTTTTTTGGTCGTGCGCCGTAGGGCCATACCCTGTGAACATTCAAGTATATTAAAATCCTTATTTTTGAATATGATTTATTAAAAAATATTAAGATGTACTTATAAAATATGATAAATAAACATTTGTTGAAAATTTCAGCTCAGTGCGTGCATTATTTTTCGATAAAAACGCGATTTAAACGATTTTAACGAACAGCCCTCGTATATAAGGACGAATTTAACGCAGAAACGTTCATATAATGTAAGAAGTTCAGGTATCCTAAATGTATTTTTGGTCGAAAAGAGAGTTATAACCGACCCCACTTCAATTTCTTGTGAGTCAATTTTTTCATGCATCTTTATTTTATTATTAATTAATTAATTTATTTATTTATGTATTATTTTACTCATCGTTTATTTTCTGGCCGCTGCCTCTCCCTCTCTGAATACGATGCTACTTGGACATGTTGAGACAATATCGTTGCAAGAGTTATCTCTCTTCACTGCCATGCATTTTGACCCGCAATGTAATTCAGTTGACCATCGGAAGTATATGTGAGCATTTTGCTGGATTCAACCAATTTAAAAAAAAAAGATAAAGGGAGAACAAAACATCGGTTGGTTTTACAAGAAGATGAGAGAAAACAATGTCGATGTGCCAATGTTTGAAAGTTGGTTTTATGTATAAATTAATTCTTTCATCAATCTGAAATCGATATCAGGTTTATTTAATTAATTTTCTGGAGACTCACAAACCAGGAAGTGGCTAATTATTAATAACATGGTTCTATAACTTGACTGAAATAAAGTCCGGGTTTATTACGTTGTACGACAAAATTTTTAACTCAAGTGGATTGTGCAATTTTAGAAAGTCACTGAGCAATAATGATTTTTGATTTCGACTGCCTGCGATTTGGTTTTGAGTTTTACTTTGTTTTGATTAAATCGATATCACAAACTCTAGAGCAGTTTAACCTTCTCTCAAGAATATTTCGCATTGAAGAATGCATTAATGAGGTTGATGTGCTATCTAAACTTCTTTTTTTCATAATGGTCTTGTATCTTGTACATGCTTGAAAAACCAATGTCTCACATTCCGTATAAACTGTATCATACGGTCTAAGGAAGAAGTGATGTCGGTTTTAGTGTTGTACGACTAACTTAAACTGAGTGGAGTAATATTAATTATAAACTATAATCCTGTTTACAATAGAAACCACCATGCATACAAATTTATAAATACAACTGTACATTACGTACAGAAGTGTTTGAATCATCTAACTGATTTTAAAGTGAGCGATTGGTGATATCCCCCTGCATATTACAATGCAGTTTATAATCTATAAAGTATGTTTTACAAAGTAATAATAGAACTCATTTCAGTATAAAGTTCATAAACAAGGAGATATTTATGGAACTTTTATTGAGAAGTAAAATTTCACCTTGCAAAGTCTGATGAAAATGACATGAAATGAAATATGCATAGAATTGTTAGCTTTTGTATTCAGTTTTATCACAAGCAAAAACAAAATATTTTGCTTCAAATATATTTAAAAAAATAATCAGAACATATTAGCAAGTTTATTACCCCTTCACTAGCTTTTCATTCAATGCAGGTAGTATCGTGAATGATTCGACCCACCACACTTTTCTTTTTTCTTTTTTTTTTTGAGAAGTCATTTGCTAAATTAAGTAGTGTATGGAAATTTTAGTTGAAAAGTCGTCCCCCCTCTTTTTGTTGCATAATGGTTGAACCCTCCCTCTTTAATGTTTCCGCAATTTTTTTTTTGAAAAGGGATACCTGGAACACCCACCCACCCACACACACTCATGATTAAAACCGGATTCTCGAATCGCTCTGAAATTCTGATACTCGCTTTGTATCTAGCGACTATCGGAATTTGGGAGCGAGTCAAAGATTTGATTTAATCAGACTTCCCCCTTTCCTCGAAATAAGGTTTTCGAGTATGAACCAGTGTTCCCCCCCCCCCCCCCGTTTTTTAACCTCTACTGGTCAGAGACCAGAAGAGCTTATGCGATAGTAAGGTGTCCGTCCGTCCGTCTGTCTGTCTGTCCGTCCGTCTGTAAACAATTTTTCAAAATGCTACTCCTCCTACAGTTTTGGTCTGATTTCAGTATAACTTGGCACACAAGTAGACTACACTAAGATACATAATTCTGTATATCGGTTTTTGATTTTGATGAACGGTGTTGCCATGGTTACTAAAAATAGAAATTTCTGTGAAAAACATTCAAAATGCTACTCCTCCTACAGTTTTGATCTGATTTCAATATAACTTGGCGCGCAATTAGACTATACTAAGATACATAATTCTGTGTATCGGTTTTTGATTTCGATGAACGGTGTTGCCATGGTCACTAAAAATAGAAATTTCTGTGAAATACTTTCAAAATGCTATTCCTCCTACAGTTTTTATCTGATTTCAATATAACTTGGCACACAAGTAGACTATACTAAGATGCGTAATTCTATGTATCGGTTTTTGATTTCGATGAACGATGTTGCCATGGTTACTAAAAATAGAAATTTCTGTGAAATACTTTCAAAATGCTACTCCTCCTACAGTTTTGGTCTGATTTCAGTATAACTTGGCAAACAAGTAGACTACACTAAGATACATAATTCTTTACATTGATTTTCTGATTTCGATGAACATTGTTGCCATGGTTACTAAAAATAGAAATTTCCTTGAAATACCTTCAAAATGCTACCCCTACAGTTTTGGTCTGATTTTAGTATTACTTAGCTCACAAGTAAACTACACTAAGATACATTATTCTCTGTACCAGTTTCGGATTTCGATGAACAGTGTTATGAAATTTTAGTATGATATAATAATAAATCTTGCCACAAAAGAGACTAAACCAAGGATCATTATTCTGTTTATTGCTGTTGCAAAGTTTCAAGTCAAAGTGCTACTTTTATCTTCCTTTATAAATACAACCAGTAGAGCTACAGTCTCGTCAGAGACTTCTGGTTATTGGGGGGAGGGGTGTCAATTATTTTCTCGCTGACTCCTCCATTTAAACGATGCAACGTGCCGGTCGGTCCTGTGATCTTGAATTCTTGCTTCTATTTCATTTTTTTCTGAAAGTTTATACCTTTCAACAAATCTTAAAAATTATAATAGTAAATCATCAAGCTACCTATCATGTTGTAAATTTTGAATTTACTAGGGGGAGGTAAATGCAAAATTTACAACATGATAACTAGTTATCATGTTGTAAATTTTGCATTTACCTCCCCCTAGTAAATTCAAAATTTACATGATATACGTACCAAACCATGCTCAGTGCCTGAAGATCCCGAAGTCGAATTTTTATGCAACAACCAGAATTTCAAAATTAATTTAGGGACAAAATTGACCTTTTAAGAACAGATGCAAATTTGTTATGCTCTATGCACTAGCTTGTGTCTATAAAACAAAAACAAGACCCTCTGATATATTGTTTATAAATAGTATTGTATTACAAAACTTTTGAAATATTTTAAGTAGTAAAGGAACAGAGTATATATGGAAACTTTGTGCTATAATCCACACGGGATGATTTTTTTTCACAGCGCGTGTTATTCGTTTTGTATAATATAAATATTTGTGCTATCTTATTGTGGACAAGGCACTGACAAAAAGTGGGAATGGGAGCTAAGCCACCGAGAAGAGAGAGTCACTGAGAAAAGAGATTAAAGAAGCCCTCCCTCCCCCTCCCCCCAAACCTCACACACTTTGCCACGCCCAGCGTTTTTACAGTGCATTCACGATCAACCGAAGGAATGCCTTTTCCAAAGTTTCTATATGGGACTGGGATCTGTAATTACAAATGTTTGAATTATATACTGTATAAATGAAAAATAACTTGAAGTTATATTTAAATAATAAAATGCTTTCTTTGTTTGTTAATGCGGAGAAAACGTGTTGCGATATTGCAGAAAAAAAATACATATACTAAGTAACCCGCTTACGCGGACTATGTGATTTTTTTTTCTGCAGTGATTGCAACCTTCATCCCCGCATAACAAAGAACAAATGTCATTTTTTATATTATATATATATATATATATATATATATATATATATATATATATATATATATATATATATATATATATATATATATATATATATATAAATTACATGTATTCGTATACAATGTTAGCTGCAGAACTGTAGCTCTCTGGTTGAGAATATTCGGAACCGGAGAGGTACAGATCCAAGCAAGGTAAAAACCTTCGATTTATAGCGACGCTTTTTTGTCGCTCGCTTCGGGTTTTATTTCTGTATTTTATACGTTCCCTCGCTTCAAGAATGGTATTCGTTAATTTTTACACATATCTTACTTTTATTCCTGATACTTTACTTACCTTTCAATGGTTCCAAACAGCCCTCCATGGTTTTTGGCTGGTCAGTTAAAAAAAATGCATTCCGACATCCATGGTGGGAGTAGTGCAAAAAAAATAACAACAATACAGAAAGAAATTAGATAAATAAAACTTGGGCACGTTATTTTAGCATGACACCAACATGGACGAAAAATGCTTTTTTTTTTTAAAGTGATACTCAAAGACCATGTGTGGCTTCTTGGAACCGTTGAAAGGTAAATAAAGTATCAGGAAAAGGGGTAAAATATATGGTTAATTAACGAATATCATTCTTGAAGCGGGGGAATGCATAAAATGCAAAAAACAATTACCGAAACGAATGACAAAAATGGGCATCGTAAATCGAAGGGTTTTACAATGCTTGGATCTGTGGCTCTCTAGTTTAACTGTCCAAATTTTCTCAACCAGAGAGCTACAGTTCTTCAGCTGATAAAGTGGGTGATATAGGTGGAATCTTGTATCATTGTTCTGTACGTTACATTAATGAAAGAGTCCACTACATTATTGTATTATTGATCTGTACGTTACATTGATGGAAGAGCCCACTTTTCATAAAAAAATCTTTCAAACAGATGGCTTTTAAAACCGGTAATTACTTGTTTTATTGTTATGGATTGATAACGGCAATAAGTGTTCATAAGAAATATAAAGGAGAAAATATTCAAAGATGTAAATATTACTCGCGCCTTTTCGTACTCTATAAATGAAGTACATGGCCAACTGAAGAAGCAACAATTTATATCAGGCCCACCGTCCCCAAAATTGTTCTTTACCTCAGCCTCATATTACAAACTCAGATCGTTGAGGAAGTCTCAATCCAGAGTTAAGGATACATGTACCTTAGTTGAGGCTGAAAATTTACACTCAACACAGATGAGTTGGTACACGAAAAATTTGGCGTGATTTCGCGGATTTTTTACGCAATGACTTTAATTGTGCAATAAAATTTTGTCGGTTAAACCGTTTGTTGTAATTTGAGATATTCAGACTTAGGCTGATTATTGACTTGAGGAAAATTGGTGACAGCGGGGCATCAATTAGGTGTAGAAATTAATGGGAGAATCTGGCTCGGTACAGGGGCGGAAAACTTTCGGATGTGTATTATACCATCCTTCATCATCCTATGATGAACACAGAGTATAGTTAATGTCAATATAATATAACTGTCATGAAATATACATATAATTGCTAATCGATTTCAAAATAGAAAATGCATCAATGAGGATATTGCATGCAATTGCTATATGCATTTCAGGAGGAACCAACTTGGGATTTCAAGATTTTGCCACTACATACATGTAATATGATAATTGGTAATGAGAAATTATTTCAGCTAGTATATTGAAAAAGATGAAGATAACGAATTGTGATTAATCTTATAAATCATGCATACATAAATAGACACTTTATTCGCGGATTGCATAAAATAGAAACGATAATTGTTGATTTATTCAATTTTTCGCTGCTATACAATTATGCTGAATAATCATTTGGTCTTCCAACATGCCTTATTAAGTAAAGCCACTAAGCAAGCCTCCTGCATAGATTTCTTGCGCAAAGGCTCTTCCATCAGTTATGCATACAATGACATAAACATCTATAAACAAAATTTAACATATTTAATTTTACTTAAAAATTTTTTTTTATAAGGATATAAATATAAACAATAAAATGTCTTTCTTTGTTAGTACGGGAAATAACGTCGCAGCTAAAAAAAAAAAAAATTACGTAACCCCTTACGCGGGGGGTATGGTTCTTTTTTTTCTGCAACAGCTGTGACATTAATTCCCGTACTAACAACCAAAGAAAGTATTTTATTGTTTAAATAAACATTAATGAATAAACAAGAAATGAAGAAAAATTCATTGCTACTTTAAGAATGCGTTCAAATTAAATTTGACGAAATATACAATAAACTTTGACCAAAACCATTCACATGTTGAATATTATTGTTGTTTGTTTGTTTGTTGGTTTTTTTTTTTCATTATTATTTGCCACACGTCCATTCATCTCTTACTAAGTACAAACAAATAGACTTGTGAAAGGAAATACACACTATATAAAAGGCAAAAGCAGAGAGGATAGATTATATATGCAATGTTTGTTATACTCATCAAATTGTAGACGAATTTCATTGTATATTGGTGGGCTGTATTGATCAAATTCTGAAGAAACTATCAATAAACATTTGCATGTTTATATCATATACATATTTGGGAAACAAGAAAGAATGTTGTAATCAAGAGGTTTCAAATCGAGCACCACCATGTATTCGAAATGAATTCGGCATTGTCTGCCGCACGTATATATCATGAGTCTTTCGGATTCTGCAAATGTAATTGTACCTGTCCGAATAGATGTAATTCGTTTTTGTTTTTGTTTGGTTTTGTTGCTGTTGTTGTTTTTTTAAGTAATTAAAATTATTTACAATGATGAAGAGCAAAAAAAGAGCTGTTTCTGGTTTGTTTTCCCATTAAAAAAAAACTGTCTCGGAATTGATCATATTCGCAGTATGACTTACACTTATATACCCTAAAATCTTGTAAATTAATTTTAAATGAAGAAGAACATTTATATAATGATCTGCGATTGTCCTGCAAATCAAACAATTGATGTGTCCAAACACGCGTTTAATTTGCGAATTAGCAAAAGTACATTTACAAAAATAATGACTTTTTTAATGATTATGAAAAATAAATATTTTAGAATTTTACATTTATTCATCATCAATTTCGCTAAATTCTGTTAAAACCATATATCTACTTTTTCCAATGTGAGTTTCTATTTAAATTGATATTCGGAGTTTAAACTATGCTGATGGGTATCTATTTGCATAAACAATCTTATATCGCTGTTCCAAGCGCATTTGTCGATGATTAGGTATAAATAGCTGCGATCTGGATGATTGCACATAAAACTGCCACATGACACTCATTAAGGTACTATTTCTCAGGCGTAAGTCCATAGATGTGATTAACCCATGACGTCATATAGTTGCCAAGATACAAGTTTTTTCACTTGTGCAAAAAGCGCATGAGTACCTTCAAGAAAGGAATTTATAGTTCCGTGATGTGGACATGTATCTACATTTACCCCGCCGGTTCCTCTACGAGGCCAATCAGTGGGACGTTTAAACATCGAAAGTCTATTATATACATTTTTTAATTCTCGCTAGACAATCTAGATAACTTTAAAAAACAGCTAGATATACACGTAGAGTTAAAAAATCAAATTTTAAAGCATACGAACAAATGTTAACTATAGCCACAAAAGTTTAAAGTGAATATTGATTTTTATTGATTTATCATAAGTTTCAACGAATACAACAAAAACAATAGAAAAATGTCTTTAAAATAAAAATTCAAGATTTTCATGCAAATTTTAAAAGTTTAAGAACTTATATGATGTTGTATGTTTTAGGCGCTTCTCCGCATTTGTAAATATGTATTGTGTATAATCACTTTAATTATTAGACAAAAATATATAGAACTTATGGAATGCCAACGCCACCGAAGGACGTGTGACGTCACGTGTGAAAAGAGGAGGAAGACAGAAAAGCCCGAGAAATGGCGACTCCATGATCTGTCGTCGTCTGGGGTGACTCGAACTGGACACCTGAAGTGGCTGGTCCATCATACTCATTTCAATGACCACGACTTGTAGTTATTGTTTGAAATCCAAAAGGATTACTTAAACTTGGAAATGGCTGCAAACATGTATAGAGTTGGTGGTAAGTACAATAATTTTCAAAGTGTAAAACAGCATGGACGGACCCAATTTTTCAATTGGCGGCGTGATATCAATATTTAAATTATAATTTGAAATGAAGTTAAGTGATTGTGTAGAGATTTTTCTGTTATGTAAAACGAGGAATATCGATAGAGAAATGTGTTGATTGCTTATTTTGAGGATTTTGGAACTTGTATTTCTTTGTAAAATTTTCAAGAAAAGCGAGGCCCCAATGGGGTGGCGGTGATTTGGTCATAATGATCGATGCTGTTTTTGTGCGTCGTTTATCTTGAAATCCACTTGTAAAACATCATGATTTTATGCAATAATTTTCTTTAAGATATGTGAGACAATATTATGGCAATCTTTTTCAAGTGAAAAATGTCTCATAAATAGTCGAAATTGACATGTGTGCACTATTTTTTATCGCGGTGGGATTTATTGGGCCGGTAATTTCACACAAAGGTCTTTCATCTCTTTACCTTCAGATTATGTCTTTTTTGAGACATCGTCGACAACTCCTTATCAAATAAGAAGGATAGAAGAATTAAACAAGGTAGGGACATTTTTTAATCATTTCCATTGTTTTCCACACAAAGCTTGGTGTTGAGGCCACTGAAGGGGCAAGAAGGTCCCGACGGGGTTTTTTTTATTCCATTTCGCGCAGCTAATGTTCCACTTGAGTGGTTACATTGCCATGATCTAAGTGTTTATCACTTGCTTTTCCAGACTCCAAACGGCAATGTCGAAGCCAAAGTTGTATGTTTCTACCGACGACGGGATATTTCAAGTTCTCTTACACTTCTTGCCGACAAACATCAAAGTGAGTATTTGTTTAGGGAAATCCACGAACTTGCATTTTGTGATCAGAAAATCCATGAATGAGAAACTTGATTTAAGAGTTTAAGTGACTATCTCCCGTGACTATGATATAGAAAACTGAAGTTTTTCAATGTTAAATCAGCGAAACAACCTTTATATTTTGTAAACATTGAGATAGCACGTGTTTTTGTGTTGTTAACTGAAAATAGTCCGGCTAAGCTTTCGTTTGATTGGTGGGCTTCATTCATTCATAGCATCAATTTTACTACAAATACTACTACAACAAACGAATAAGAAATATTTTCAGGGTTAAAATAGCCAATTTTTATTTATTCACTAATGTTTATTTAATAATAAGATTGTAATTTTATTTTTTGCAGCTGACAGTGGTAAGTCTATAGGATGTCTGCATGGTTAGCAAGTCAATATTACATTTCAAACATCTAATAAAGATATTTATTTCATTTAAAATCATAAAAATATTGTCTAATGAATATCTAATCGTATATCAGTTTGTAAAAATTTATTTACAAATTGTTCATTAAAAATGCTTACATAGTAATTGAGGCCTAATCTGTGAAAAAAATAATAATAATAATAATAATAAAAATTTAAAAAGTGGAATAAAGTATTCATATAAATTTAGTCAGCATAAAGAATACAAAAAATATTTTGGATATTATTATTGACTCCACATGCTTCATTAATAATAGCTGCATACATTTATTTTATGAACATGAAATTGTGAATGCTATTAAAGACTGCTTGGATGATGCTGAACTGGAATCTAAACTGGATGAAGTGGGTGACAAACAGAAACACCAGCTGAAGCACAGGGAGCTTTTTCTGTCACGTCAAGTGGAGACCCTCCCCGCAACTCATATACGAGGAAAATGTACTGTCACTCTTCTAAATGAAACAGAGTCCCTGCTTTCCTATTTAAATAAAGATGTAAGTTTGCTCAGAACGATTTTAGAAGCTCCTGTCTGACAGAGAAACAAAAGGATTTTCCACCAAAACTGTTTTGTGCTATTGCGAAAATAATATTTTTCTGTTCATTTGATTGATTTTTTTTCCCTTTTGTTTTAAATATATATATCATAACAATACTTCATAAAAAAATGTTTGTTGTTCTTGTAGGACACATTTTTCTACTCCTTGGTATATGATCCACAACAGAAAACTTTACTTGCTGACAAGGGTGAAATTCGAGTTGGCTCTCGTTACCAAGCTGAAGTGCCAGATAAGCCATTAGAAGGTAAATGTACAACTCTACTCTTCTTCTTCTTTTTTTTCCCCCAAGACAAAAAATTACACTCAAACAATTCCTGTGTTTTGATGATAAATTAATACTGCTAAACTTTGATTTTTTGAAGGAGAAGACACAGAAAATAGAAAGATGGAAGACTTAGAAGATTTAATTTGGACACCAGAAAATGGGCTAGCAGATAGACAAATTGACCAGTTTTTAATTATATCCAGGTTAGTATACCTAGAGATGATGACTTGAGTAAGGTTTATTGTAAGAGTAGTTTCTCATTTAAATTAGAATACCCAGTATTAACCAGCTGATTTTGTTTCCTCAGATCTGTAGGGACTTTTGCAAGAGCTTTGGATTGTACAAGCACAGTTCGACAGCCAAGCCTTCACATGAGTGCAGCAGCAGCTTCAAGAGACATAACTCTTGTAAGATTTGAAAAGAAATTCTAACTTGAAATATTTTATTTTCTGGCTTTTACTGAGAAGTACATGTGCAAACCTATTTCAATACATGTAGATACATGTACAATCCATAGTCATTTTCTAATTTCTTTTTTCTATACAAATTGTAATAGTTCCATGCCATGGACACACTGCACAAGTCAGCGTATGAACTATCTAAGGCCTATGCTAGTCTTGTTCCAACGGGAGGACCTATGCTATGTCGAGACGAGATGGAGGAGTGGTCAGCATCCGAGGCCAATCTGTTTGAGGAGGCTCTAGATAAATATGGCAAAGACTTCAATGACATTCGTCAAGATTTTGTAAGCACAATAAAACTAATTTTTTTGACAATTTTTTTTTTTCATACCTGTCTAGCATCTATGTGATAGAAACCTTCATGTGTCTAAATGTATTTTTAGCTTCCATGGAAATCTTTGAAAAGCATTGTGGAATATTACTACATGTGGAAGACGACAGATCGCTATGTCCAGCAGAAAAGAATCAAAGCAGCTGAGGCAGAAAGCAAACTGAAACAAGTGTACATTCCCAACTAGTAAGTTTGCCAAATGACTTTTGGTGAATTCTTTCATATCTGAAATAGGTTATTCACCTATGCCTTTACATTTATATGTACTTTTTTGATAATACACATTTTAAAATTTATAGTAACAAGCCTAATCCAGCAGCCATTAATGGTAAAATGAATGGAGTGGATGGCCAAGTGTCGGGAAGAGCTTGTGAGAGCTGTTATGGTAAGGCTTCAGAGTAACAAATCAGGGGGCATGATTTTCTGTGCTTTATTGCTAAAGAATATCATCTTTCATCTTCATGAAGCAGGGGGCATGATTTTCTGTGCTTTAATGCTAAAGAATATTATCTTTCATCTTTATGGAAATGAAATTACATGTACATGTATATAACCCACAGATGAAATTGATTTGTGAATACCAGTAGTTTTATGTACATAATAGAGAGGTTGAGATCTTAAACATGTATGCTTAGGTGTACATATACTTTGGCATACACACACACATTTTTGTAATTTTTCTGTTGAGATTTTAATGACGTGTAACATGAACGTGTACGTTGGGATCATTGTCTCTGTTTCAAATATTTAATTGATTTGTGACATCAGTTTGACTACAGTTAGTAAATAAAACATTTTTTAAAATAAGTGCTCCTGCAGGGCTTGACATTAACGCTTGTCCAGTACCAGTGAAAAAAAATTATGGACAAGTGAATATTGCTGGGCACTTGTCCGATTGGACAAGTGCATTTTAATGTAAAGAAGTCTCCAAATAATTAAAAGAACAACTGTTTAATATTTAGTTTACCGCTACTTTAAAGACGGAAACAGTACATAAAAACCAAACTTCGATCCCGATATGTAATGGAGTTCATTCTCGATCGGGATCAAAGTTCATTAATTGCATACTACTGCAAAGGCATGGAACTTACGAAGTTCGGATTCTGTTTTTTTGTTGACAGCATTTATGTTATCAGGACAGAGAATCTAGATAAAAATTTGTTTTATGTGTTTGTTGTATTTATAAATAACATAATGCACATGTCATGGACTTTATTTTAGCTTTTCAGTTGAAAGTATTAGATCTATATTGAAAAATTTTCGGACAAGTGTAGTTGAAGTTCGGACTTGTAAATGTCTTGGTCACTTGTCTAAATGGACAAGTAGGAATAAAAGTTAATGTCGAGCCCTGTCCTGAAACTAAACATCAGAAATAATGTACAACAATCACATTTTTACACAAAAATTGACTAATTTTTATAAAAGTTGCAAGTTTACACTTACGTGTAGATGCCACTTTACAAGTTCTAGGAACGTGTAGAAAACTTAACATCACTAAAACTGTTGACATAATAGTATAAATACGCGAGGAATTTAGGGAATTTCCCTACTAGACATACCTGTACACATACACGTATTAAATCTCAACCTCTCTATTGTATCTTAAGAGATTTTACTGATTTATACAGTAAATAGAAAAGGGAAGGTTGTGTTCTCTTGAACTTCAGAGATCTGAAATAAACTGTCTTTTGTTCTAAGTTGACAAACATGAATTTTAAAAACCATTTTGATTCAAAAATTGCAGCTGCCCACTCTTCCCAGTGGTATTCCTGGGGACCTGCCCACATGCAGTGTAGGCTATGTTCCTCCTGTTGGATCTACTGGAAGAAATATGGAGGACTGAAGATGCCAACAAGATTGGACGGAGAACGACCAACACCAAACCAGCGACAAGGTATGCTCGTGTTGTTCAATTGTATTATAAATCAATTTTAAACTGTGTTAGTTTGATCAAGCATATATATATGTACATGTAAATTGTTTTTATATACTGTTTTTAAATCATTTGATAAATTATATGAATATTTTTTTTTTTTTCAGAGAGAATAGCGGCCCAGATAAACTCAATGAGAATGCATAGGTGCACCATAGCTGGCTGTGGAAAGGTAATAATTACAATGCAGTCTGGACTTACAGTTTATGTTACCTAAAACTTGGAGTCAAAAAATGAAAATTGGTTTACTTTAAATTAAAAGTTGCCTTTTTTTTTCCCTACAAGGAATTCCGTCTGAAAGCTCATTTAGCAAGGCATCTTGCCACAGCTCATGGCTTAGTGGTGCGTTCAGGTAGCCCAAGACCTGTAATGAAAACCAGAGCAGCTTTTTGTCTGATCACAACGCCACTCACTCGCATCTCCAGGCGTCTGTGTAAAGATATCCTAAACCCACGGAGAGCTGCTCGCTCACCATTCATACCTGTCAACATAGCAGCCATCAAGCAGGAATGTAAGTGTAAAGATTAATATGGAGATAAAAAGACAATGATGGTTTATGAATTCATGTTCACTCTCTAGTAATGTGCTTTGTTGAGGATTTTGTATCAATTTTTTTTTAGTAAAATCAAGTTTATTTGGAATCATTAATGTTCTTCGTTTAGTTTAAAAGAAACTGTTTTTGAAAGGGAAAAATTATTATTAGAAGTATGTGGTGTTGACCCTGTCCTTAGTTTATTTGAATGAACTCAAATTTCTCAGGAAAGTCACTAAGGAGGTATTATTGATCCACAAAATGGCCAAATGGAAGATGTGATTTTTCAGAGACTTCCATCAGTACCATGAATTATGATTGGCTGGGTCTCGATGAAATCTCCACTATCATGAGGGGATTTCAAATGTCAAGTCGCCAAATGCTACATAAGATCTCAAGAAATACTGATACTATTTTTACATGAAGGAAAATTCTAACTTGGACAATGAGTCTTCTAGCTTGATTTTTAACTTTTTACTATTGAAAAAAACTTCCGTCTGAAAAGTTAATGTTTCTCTGCTTTATTACAATCACCAGTATATTTTTGCCATATATGTACTTGTATTACCCTTTCAAATGTCATAAGTCTTGCTACACATGCTTTTTTTTTTCTTTGTTACCACTTATTCATCTGATCAGATTTTAATCCCTGAATGTTTGTGATTTTTTTTTTTCTCAACAATAATATAAGAAAATGTAGTAAATCCCATTAAGAAAAAACAGCTTTAAAATAATATATACTTTGTTGAGCATATTGACCTTAATTTTCTTGTATTTTGTCAGGCCAACTTCGACTGACAGAAGTAGAAGACTATGTGCCAAACATCAAACTAAGGAGTCCAGCTACCCTGGAGCCAGTTGTGGCTCGACTGGGAATCAACATTAAAATGGACAAGCCTCCCTTGCTACACAAGTCAGAAAATGATCATAAAAAACCAGAGAAAATCTTCTTTCCTCCATCTGCCTCACAACCTCGTAAGATTTTTTATTACCTTATAAATTAATGAGTTCAGTTTTTAGAGCACAAAATGAATTTTATTTTGGTTAATAATAAAAATGACATTAAATTATGTTTTAGAATTCAGAGCACACACCCCGAGTCCTTCCAAGCTTACCACAGGCTCTCCCTCCATCATGAAAAAGAGAGGCTATGAACAAGCAAATGGTGTAGATGGTAGGTATATAGTGGTATATGTATTAAATGGCATAAATGGCAGGTGTATAATGTTAGATATTAAATGGTATAGATGGTAGGTGTATAGTGGTAGATATTTAATGGCATAAATTGGTAGGTGTACAGTGGTGAATATTCAATTGATATAGATGGTATATGTTGTATAGTGGTAAATATTGAATGGTATAGATGATAGGCATATGATAGTAGATGGTAGATGTATAATAGTAGATGCATGTATTCAGTGATATAGATGGTAGGTGTATATAATACATGTAGTAGATATTTAATGGTGTAGATTATAGCATCGGTCAATGTAAGTAGGTAAATATTTAATGGTGTGGGTGGTAGGTGTATAGTATGAGATATTTTAAATATTTAATACTAGTGAACCGACTACAAGTTTAGTGCACTGAATAGTCAGCTTTGACAGAATAAAACAGCATGTACACATTGTAAAATGGGCTTTTAAAAAAACTGCTTATAGAATTGCAAAAATTTTATCAACCTATCTTTAGGTATACAGATACTTGTTTTGAACATTTATTAAATTATTTTGATTGTTTAGTAATCTATGACATTTGACTGATAATAATTAAAGTGACATTTTCTGACAGGACCAGTAGCCAAGCGTCCAAACATGGGTGTTATACGACAGATTGGATCATCCATGAGGTCTCAAGTTGTAAGTAAATGTTTTCAAATTCCATAGAAAATGTATGACAAGTTGTGGACAAAATTTTATGTTGTTTTTCTGATTGCATGTACAGCTGGATGATTTTTTGAGTGGAACCTGTAATTAAACACAACTCTCAAGTTTTTTTGGTTGATAAAATATGTGTTGAAGTTACAACCCTGATGTGAACGTTTAAAGATTACTGAAGTTGATGTAATCTTTGCAGAGAGGTAATTTAATGAATCACAACATGAATGGGCGTGGCAAAGCGATGGGGGTCCGGGGAATGAGAATGCAAATGATCAACTGGTTGGATGCCCCAGATGACGTGTATTTTGTGGCAACCGACGCCACCAGGTACATCTAAAACTGATTTTGCATTTGTGCATAGATATTTTGGTTTTCTACAAAGTTTGGCAGATAACTGCACTGTTTGTTTCGCACACCTTTCCTTTTTTTTTTTTAATTGGATGCTTGTAAATATTTATGCTTAAATTTTTTTGTGTTTTAGCCAATCTGACTTATCTTTCTTATTAACCCATCATTTGTATTTCGCTTTCGTCACCTAACAAATAAGTAACATTATATTTTGATATCATAAACTCTCTGCCTAGATTCAAAGATAGCCTTGGCTTTTACATGTATATTTTCTTTGACAATATGGCCACCTATTAATTTTGTTCTCGTACCAAGTGGATAGAGTTAACTGAGAAGAATTTTGAAATTTGTTGAAAAATATTGTATACATGTAAACACCCATGCATATTTATACATGTACAGTCAGCTACATGTATATGTCAGAATATTGTTATCTTAGAATCACGTGTGTATAGCACTAACCATTTGTCCATTACTATTAGTATCTTGGAATACAAGTTTAATGATACATATTCTATGTTATTACTTGTTTCAAGTAAAAGAGGGGTAGTTTAATAATTATATCAGTATATTAACAAAAATTTATATCAAAGATTCAATCTTGTATTTTTAGGAAGCTCAGGAAACAGCTGCAGCCCCAGGATTTCAAGAGAACGGCCAGAAATCCGTGGCGGAGTGTGCTAATTAAACCACCGATAATGGGAGGAGACTCGGAAGTTGTGGTGCTCGATTGACAAGGACATGTACTAATAATGGACAGAAGTGTTTCTTTCTAGAAAGTAGCCAAACATTTAACATCTTGCAATAGGAAGGAAATCCATTGTGATGCTGTCAGATTTAGACGGTTGCTTTAAATAGCTCAACAGCTTAGCAAAAAGAAAATCGGAGACTGAAGTCCAAGAAATATTAAAGCAATACCAAGTATAACTTCCCTCAAGGGCAGAAAGAGTTGTCAGTATTATGATAATGAGGAACTATGTGATCCTGACACTTAATTGAGTTTCTGGGTTGGAGATTAAGCCTCTGTACAGATGATGTAAATTATTAACAAAATTGTAAATAAAAAACAAAAAAAGGATGTGGGCAATTGTTCCCGTAGTTTGGTCTGGATGATTGAGTGAATTTTTGTACCTAATTTTCTATTTCCTTTTTTGTACTTGATTTTTTTTTCTTCAGAAGATGTTCTGCCTCTAGATCTTTAGTGTTCTCCAATCAGGGAAGTTGAGTGTTGAGACTAGGATAATTTATTTTGTGTTGACGTGACTATTGTGTTCATCATTCAATGATGTTTTTTTTTTGTACAGTACTGAAGTAAAATGCTTTCATGTCAAACATCTTTTAGTCCTTCCTGCTACATTTTCACATCAAAGTGGACGACAAAATTGCCATCTGCATCATTTAATTTATTTATTGTTGGTTTATATTCATTTAATGTTTGGTACTCATATCCATTACTCTTTTCTCATTAAAGAAACGAACTTGTTTTGTCTTGCATATTATTGCATGAAATAAACAATACATGTGTAATTTTCATACATGTGTAATTTTTTCCAGAAATAAAATGACTGCAAACATATTGTTTTTGAATACATATCCTCTACAAGTGATCAAAACAAGCTTACTCCGGTACTTCATTTTCTCCACTTAAAAAAATAAATGGGTGGAAGTGCAGATAGAAAAGGATTGACCTTTGGTCTCGAAACAAATGAGTCCTTGGAGAAATTCATCACTTTAAAATTTCATTGCAAAAGCTCTCAAGAGAACTAAAGCATTTTGGGATGAAGGGGAATTAAAATTGTTAAAATGAAGGGCCAAGCCCCCTTACTAAGTTAGATAATCAAGGAAAAAAACAAAAATAGGGTGGAGTCATTTAAAAATCTTCTCAAGTGCCACTGGGTCAGAAAAGCTGTAACTTATGCAGAATCTTTCTGAGGTAGTGTAGATTCTAAGTTGTTAAATCATGGGTAGAGTGACCGTCACGGTAGCTCAGTTGGTAGAGCGGAAGGTCGTGTGTTCGAATCACGGCCGAGACTGACCTAAATCGATAAAAAAAATAGGTAGCAACTGTTGCTTCGTTTTAGCGCTCGGCACTTTGAAGTGAAAGTTGCGGGTCTTTCGGATGAGACCTTAAAAACCGACGCCCCGTGTTGCGGTAGGAGTTGGCACGATAAAGAACCCTCACTGCTCGATGGCCCTGAGTGCCGAGTATAGGTCTAAATTCGAAGCCCTTCACCGGTATATGGTGACTCTCTATATGAGTGAAAAATTCTCGAATGGGACGTAAAACAAAACACAATCAATCAATCATGGGTAGAGTGTGGCCACAAAAGGGAATCAGTTTTACATTGAAAAAATATAGGGGAAATCTTAAAAATCTTAAGAACCAATAGGCCAGAAAAAGTGAAATTAACGAGATTTTCTGGGGTAGTGTAGATTCTAAATTGTTCAAATCATAGCCCCTGGGGTATTGTGGGGCCACAGTACAGGCCCGTAGGAAGCAAATTCAGTTTGGGGGGCACAACCATACATTTTCAGTTGACGGTTGAGGGGGCACTACCAAAGATTTCCTGACAAGCAAAAAAAAAAAAGGCATCAGCCGTTTTTACTGAGGGGGCACAAGCATACACTGTAAAAAATGTGTTTACAATTCAAACACTTCTAAACACTTTCTTGTCACCTCCTTTTTTATATGTTTAATTTCTAAACATGTAAAATTCCTAAACATGTCTTAGAAAGTGTTTAGAATTTAAACACTTGTGTGCTTAGAAATTAAACATATCTAAACACATAAACACAAGTGTTTAAATTCTAAACACATAATAGCAGATGTGTTTAAAATCTAAACACATCATAAGTTTAATTTGTACCTGCAGAAAAACAAAACACTCTCGTAAATTTAGGCACAAAAAGTATATGTTTTTTAAATGCGCATTATTGTCAAAATTTTCAAAATATGTAACCAATATTAATTATTTTCCATAAAGCCACTGAACGTTGGGATATGTATTTAATTATACAATGCAATGGACACTGTGCGATGTACATGTACTTAATTTACACAAATAATGTAGGAGATAGAACTGAATAGATTTGATTAGTCTCAACAATTCAATCAGAATGACACATAATTAATAATGTACACATAGATAACAAACTTTTAATCTTCAAAATTATTAAGAAAATAATATTAAGCTGACAATTTAATATCAAAACTTCATTGAATATTTTTAAAGGGCTTTATTAAAGAATTGTTAAACTAAAAATACAAAATGTATACTTATATATATATTTATTATAATCATTATAATTTGAATCGGCTGCAGAGTTTTCCTCGTGTCAATAACAAAATATCGAATTTTATGAACTTTCAGCAAGTCCCAAAGCACCACATGTTATAATCTATATCCCATCAATAACTGCCAGAAAGTAACCCATTTCGAATGCACGAGGATACCTAATTGTAAACACTGTCGAATTAACACAGTAGTCTTCAACAAATGAAGGTTTCAAAGTGTTGATTATGGAACAACAACATTGCACTTGCAGATGACACCAAGTACTCTGATACGTTGTATTTTTAGTTCGATCTGGACTACGTACGGTGCCTGTAGGAAAGAAAGCCAGATTTTAGAAAAAGTACACTATCACTGATATTTCACATTACTTAGAAAAACAAAATTGTTCAAGTTTTCGTGAAACTACACTGATATAAATATAGTTGTTTTTAATGACATTTAATATTATTTTCTCTCCTGCAAGTCTATGAACGAATTCAAGATATCTCAAGTCAACTTTATTTATGTTGCTCATCGTGGTTAATTAATGCAAAGAAGAAGAAAACAAACCTTTAATGTATTGTAGTAACAAGATGCCCTTTCACGTATTTCACTATTTCGTCATGGTTATCCCTTGAATTGGGTTGTCATAACTCTCATTGATACATCACCTTAGCTTGTTGTGTTTTCTTTGTTTAGATAGCCGCTCAAATTAACGTTCAAATATATGTGTGTCATTTCCGGGAAGATAACTCTGCACTTTACAGTAAAATGTGTTTAATTTCTAAACGCGTTTAGATATAAAACATGTTAAGACATAAGTGTTTAGTTGTTAAACACAATACTATACGCGTTTAGATCTAAACATGTAATAGAAGTGTTTATTTCCTAAACACAATTTTTACAGTGTATACATGTAGTATCTATGTTTACTATAGTAATCTATATATCAACAAAATAATTGAGGGGGGGGGGGCACGCCCCCCCCCCCCCCGGTTCCTACGGCCATGCAGTAGGGAATCAAAGTCTTGGATTGAAATGTATAGGAATTTGTTTTTTAAATCTTTTTCTCATGAACCAATGGGCCAGAAAAGCTGAAATTTAAGTGGAAGCTTTCTGGGGTAGTGTAGATTCTAAATTATGTAATAGTGTGGATTCTAAATTGTACAAATCATGGCCCCTGGGGGTAGGGTGGGGCCACAATAGGGTATCAAATTCTTACATTGATATATGAAGGAAAAATCTTTAAAATATTCTTCTTTTCAAGAATCAATAGGCCAGAAAAGCTGATTAAGTAAAAGCTTCATGGGATAATGCAGATTCTAAATTGTTCAAATCATGACCCTCAGTGTAGGGTGGGGCCACAATGGGGAATCAAAGTCCCCATTGGGTCTTATCATACATGTATATATAGTAAATGGATTGTATTTCCCATCCATTCACCTAAATGTCTGTCATTCTATAATAGAATTTATTCACATTCAATGTGGAATAAATTACTAGAAATAAGGTAATGTAATAGCTGTTGAAGTAAAATTTGAACTATGAATGGAAAATGCATTGTTTGCATGTGTTGATAACAATTATTTGTATTTATTTGTATTCCACCATATTTAAGTTGAAGTCCACATTTCGTATTTCTTACAATTATTCATCCACCATTGATTGCAAACAAAAAAACAAACAAACAAACAAACAACAACAACAACAAAAAACAACAAAAAACAAAAAAGAAGATATGTTGCCCCCATACGACAGCTCATAATGTTGGTTAAAAGTTCTCAAATGCAAGTTAAACTCCAAGGTCAAGGTCAATAAATCAAAAGTGTTGGTAACACCCCCCCCCCCCCTTGTCTTAAAGAATACACCAATGAAATATAATTGTCTTAGCACCAACCGTTGAAGAGTTATGGCGAAGGTTGAAGGTTTTCAAGGGAAGGTCAAACGTCGAAAACATGGTGAAATGGTTAAATTTAATTGTGCCGAAGAGAATGTTTTTGTCGCGAGATACTAGTATATACACACATGAAATATGAAAGCCCTAGCACTAATCATTTAAGGTTAAATTTTTTTTCTTCAAATTATATAGTCAAATTCAAATGTCAAGGAAAAAAGGTCAAAACTGTTGTACCCAAGAATAATTTTGTCACACGTAATACACTTGTGAAATACGAGGGTTGTCCTCGTATGAAAGCTCTAGTACATTAGCCATTCAAAAGTATGGCCAAGGTTTAAGTTTTTTAAAGTGAGTAAAACCCCAAGGTCATAAGGTCAAATGTTTTGGTACCCAACGAAAGGCTTTTTCATTAGGAATACACCTGTGAAGTATGAAAGTCCTTACACCAATAGTAAATTTTCCACCAAGTCCTCGTGAAAATATATTAATAGCAGTGAAGGAGAAACTCCAGAAGTGCTGTACAACAATGTGTTCGAGAAGTGGTGTTAATCAAATGTGGATAGAAGTACTTTTAAAACTCCAAAGAACTGTTAGAAAATTTGAAATTTAAATTTTTACCGAAATTAAAAGAATCAAAACGAACAACTTTTCAACATTTTATACAAACATTTGCCACAATAAATTAAAGTTCAAGCTTTTTGAAATTATGGACAACTGCTTCTTCAATAAAAATGAAGCTTATAAATTTTTGTACCTTGTCACTGGTCATCTGCAAACTTATTTTGCCCCAAAGCATTCTAATTCTAGACACAGGTACTCCAAGATTATTATTAAAAAATATTTGATTTTCTAATTGACATACATGTAATATATTTTGTTTTCAGTGACCAGGTCTTCCAACAATCTATATTGGATTTTCATGGGTACCAATTGTGTCCCATTATTAGCAGACTTTTTTTGTATCCAAATGAAGCAGAATTTATGCAAAGTCTTCTATGCGAATTGAAGAAGGTCCTTGCAATGGCCTTTAGTATTCGATTTTTGTCCCCCGCTTTCACTGAAACCGGGGATATTAATTTGGGTCTGCCAGATTGTCTGTCTGTTTAGCTGTATTTCTACGTGTCTGTGTGCAGCACTCTCGTTTCCGGAAGATATCTCAAGGAGCCTTGCAATGAAATTTTATATAACAAATTCCTATGGCCTAAATAGGACCCCTATTAATTTTGATTGATTGTATATTGTTTTACGTCCCATTCGAGAATTTTTCACTCATATAGAGACGCCACCATATACCGGTGAAGGGATTCAAATTTTGACCTTTACTCGGCACTCAAGGCCATTGAGCAGTGAGGGATCTTTATCGTGCCAACGCCTGCCGTGACACGGGGCCTCGGTTTTTAAG